GTGTTCAGTGTGTGTTTTTGTTAGCGACTCAGTGCTGAGTCAGACTCCTTATCAGAGATGGAAGTTGGTCAGGGTCGATCCCACTACAGGAGGAATCCCATAGTGAACTTTTGGGAGCAAAGGACACATTACTGTAAATGACACATTGATTTAGTGATAAATAATCATGTTTCAAATTGAATTATCTTTTCTCTCAGGCAGGCCAGGTTATTGAATAATGGCAGAGCTTTATTAAGATGGTAACTTCAAGACATCTAGGAATAAAATTTTCTTTCAATGCTTGGTAAGGATGAATATTAGGAATTTTCTTTGTAGTGTGAAGTAGCTACCTCATAACAACTGCAATGCATGTTTGGTGTTTGGTTGTTCTTTTATTTTACTTGGGCCATCAAAAGTTTGCTCTAGCGATACGTATGTGTGGGAACTGAGATGCCAAAGGTGGCAGATGTATGCAGAACAGTATGATAGGTCTGAAAGTTGTTTTTTACCTGCTTGGTTTTGTTGACTGAAAGGGATGCTGTTACTAAGAAAATTAAGAAAGAAAACTAAGAAATAAACAGAATTTATTTTGCAGTGCTTGTTTTCTTGCAGGTGACTTTAATTTTTGATTTTATAAAGTCTGTATTACCATTGTAGTCATCAAAGAGAATGGATAAGTAGGTCGTGCATGTTGTCTTCAACCCATTTATCTGATTTTTAAACATGTGATGGCCAGTCGTGCTGGGAACGGCTTGCATGCAGATACAGTAGCGTCTTTGAAAAATTGTGAGCATGTTGGCGTCTAGGCCATGAAGGGGTTTTGTCTTTCATCATGAAATGAATAGGAAGGCTTTGAAGGGCAGCTTATTGATTCCTGAAATATTAATTATATCAAACCACTTCTTTTAACCAGTAGGTCTAGACATGGAATTAAATTCCTTTTATTTTTTCCTAAAATGTCAGTTTTGCCATGTACAAAAAGAAAGTGATTCAGGCGTTGTGGACAAAGTTAAACTATTGTAAACGACTGGTCATTTCATGACACAAGGAGCCATTTTTCATACTTGTTACAGAAATCATAAGATTGCACTAATAAAAATAAACTTTTTTGTGGGGTAAATTACTTGTATCTTAAGAGACGAAATCAGTCTTGATTATATTCTCAAGTCTTCAGTTCTAAGTGTGGATTTCTGTGAGCTCTTTTGGATTGCTGTTGATTTCATCATTTGGGTCTGTAATTGAAATAGAAACGGTCTGAAATTCTTAGGGGTGGCATACCAGAAGTTTATAAGTAGGTTTCCCTGTGGTAGGGTGTGGTTTGGGACAGCGTTTGTTAATACTGCATAATTATAGTCCATGTGAAGCTCACTTATTTCCAGTAATGTGCAAGCTCCCAAGACACGTGTTTAAGGAGTTACAGATAACTGTGTACAGAACTGTAAGGCTGTTGGAGACAATGGTTACATTGGGAAAGAGGCATTTCTTTCAGCTAGGATACGTGCATGCCCATGAAAGGCCAGTGATTTGAATAAATGTTAAAATTATATATGTCTGAAACAATTTTAATGGGTTCTGATAGTCATAGTGTGGTTCTGGGATTAATTTTGAATAAAAAAACTTGCAAGGAGTGACTGCAATTTGTGCAAAGGAATTTGGTATTGAAGGGCCATTTATGTTTAGTAGATGTCCTCATTGGTTCTTCTTGGTATGTAAGAGCTTTTAGATCTCTTTACATACCGTAGAGCGTGTGGTGTTGAAGAACAAGGCCGTTCCCTTAAATAGAATGGTTTTATCAGAATATTATTGTTTTACTCCCATCTTCAGATATGAAGTTGTAATTTCTTGAAGAATTTTGAAGGCATTTTCTTAGCAAGCAGAAACTATTCTAGTCCTCCCTGCTTCTGATATGTGAAACTGGAATCCTTGTTTGTGTTGCTGAATAAGGTGCCTGGAGAAAAAGGTGAATATTGGTGTTTCAAGAGGAACCTGCTCTGTGCGTTCTGTCTAGGTCACAATCTCTTATTTCCAGGGCTTGTTCTTTTGTTTGGAGACAGTGGTCGTATTGTAAAGGAGAGAAGAAAATTATTAATTGGCTTCATGTTAAAAGTGGATTTTGCTTCTGGTTCTTACTGAAGTGTTTTTTCCTTTTAAAGATGACATTGCGATTCTCACCAAGTTCAAGCCATCGCGGTCAGAAGGTATTGTACTAACCAGCATTACACCTTCCTCCCTTTTGTATGTGTCCTCTGTCCTTTTTTTTTTTTTTTTTTCTTTTTCTCTTGGAAATCAGACTTAAGTTTATGTGGGTCATTGACATCACATATGAGCCAAGATTTTTGCAATGTGATTTACAAATCAATTTTTAGCTGTCTGTGGGCAGCTCTCTTGGTTAAGAACTAATTGGGCATCTCCATTCCTGGTGCTTGTTGCAGTTCTGGTTTGCAGCTCCTTTACACCTTCCTACAAGAATTGGACATGTGTTTCTTATACTGCTTAGGAACCTGTTTATGTGTTTTTCATGGAATTAACATATTAAGTATGTTGTACTTCTCAGTTATTATATGTTTTGCATTCTCTTTTTGCCTTCTTGTTTGTTGCACTAGGGTTATTCGGTTTTATTCCCCTCAATCAGAGATACCCAAGGATTTCCTTCCACAAGTTGCATAAGTAGTCAACTGTGGTACTGGGAGAGTATTTAAAATGTAGAACTCTGAATTGGGCTTGTTCCTGAGGTTAAATTTTGACAACTACAGAAAGGATAATCCAGAAAAAAACAAACATTGAGGCTGTGGACTCAGTTCAAGTCCTCTCAGCAGCATGGGCAAATGGAAAGTTACTGCTCCAGGGACAAGGTGCCAGGCTGCTCCTGCCCTGGAGCATGTTGTGTGACCAAACGATTGTGTCCTGGGGCTTGCTGCCTTCAGCCAAAGCTGCATTGGCCAACCACTTGCCAGGGCTATAGGCAGAGCGTGATGGTGATGGTCTCTTTCTTTCACCAGGCAGTGGGCTGCTCTCAGCTTTACATGTGCTTAGAGCCAGCCCCGTATGAAGGTAGACCCTCTGCTTAGGAATATTCTTGCAGAAAAAAAAAATTCTCAAGTAAGTTAATCTAAATATTTTGGTAGTTGTTTTTTTGAGTCCAGACCTGTGTTGATATTATAATATTCTCCCATGATGTGCCATTTGTTTATCGTACATGTTAAACGCTTGTGCTGTGTTGGGAGGTGAAGTGAATTCAGTTCTGTGCTGAAGCTGTTCATGTCAACCTTTCCTGTGTTTGGTGGTCTGTTTTATGTGTGTAGTCACTATAGCATTTATGATATATATAGATATGATCCCGAATCATTTACTTCCAGGCTAACTTTTTAGAGATGACTTAACACTGGTCTCCAAACTCATATTGGCATATGCAAACATCTTTCTGCAGGTGCATGAATAAAATTTAAGTGTCCAAGTTATATTAGCTAATACAGATTTTGCAGGCATAACTCCCTTTAGCAAAATGGCATGCAATAACTTTGAATGTCTTAACAGTCAGAAACATGTTCATTATCTGTTACATACCATTGCCCCTTTTCTCATCACATCATATGTACAGTTATAAATGACAGAGATAATTTTCTGTAAAAGAAAAAATTATAGGAAACAAAATGCTCTCAAGCGGTGTCGAAGTAGCTTATTATAGATTTTAGAAAAAATAGTTTATATCCTGCATGGATGCAATTTTGACATCAAATATTTGCAGGTTACAAAAAAAAAAAGTGGGTTTGTTTTACTGGTAGGAATAATGTCACTGTGGTTGTCTGACAGTGGTCTGGTCCAAGATGCACTGGGCAGTCTGTCTCGTTTAAGCTATACTCAGCAATACTTCATTACTGTTTGATGGAGAAAGGAGTGTGATGAATCTCTTTTTGGGGTTTTGGGGTTTGTTTTTTGGTTTTGATTTGGGTTTTTTTGCAGAAAGAGGCAACTTTATTCGATGCCTGCTCTAGGTTTTCAAAGCTGCTTATAGTTCTCCATTGGTGTTGGAGTTTAGATGCCTGATTTAGGAGACTGGTCTGTCTGTCTAATTAACAGAGATGGTTGTTTACAAAAACTTTTTGGAGCAGGGCTCTGAATTGCTTTCCAGAGGAAACTGGTGACAAAGTAGGTTCAGAGCCACAAACCCAGCCAATGTCTCAGCATGATTTAGGGATCTAGAGATACTCATTGTGATTTTTCTATATAGTATTAACATTTAAGTAACAATGTCCTTGGTAGACTGACTAGATTTGCAGAAAAGCCATGCCAGAGATCAACACTGTTGTTAAAATGAAGGACTTGTTGGTTTTGGTTTTTATTTTATTTCTCCATTATGTGAGCATCTGTAATCTTGAGGTTATGCACCCTTAATCTCTTAGCAACAACAACAAAAAAATCAGTTTCTAGCAAACAAGCCCAGAGATAATTGAACTTTCGTAAGTGAAGCAGCAAAGCGCCAGGTGTGAGACTCTCACAGACACTCACCTATCAGACATTTGAGATAAGAAAAAGAATTTTATCTCATCAAATACATGATGCTGACAGATTTTTGTTTGTCACATTTAAAAATGTGTTTCTGTGACAGCAAGACCACGGCCAGGTAGTACCGACTGAGTATATTGTCTCACAATGTTTTTTTCCCTTCAAAGAACCATTCTTGAAGATTTTATGTAGCTGAGTTGTATTTTCCAGCTTTTGCTTGTTCGTAGTTCTATGCCTTCATGGTTCATTTCATTTTCAGATACAATCATATTTTAAAATAAGGAATGTATTTATTTGAATCTTTCTTTCAATGTTCCTTAGGGGAAGAATGCAATGGACCTTTATGTGAAACTATTTCAACTGCAGGATCAGAAGTCCCAAGCAGCTCTGAGGTAAGGTCTAGTACCAATGGTGTCAACATACTACTGGTAGGAAGACAGAGGAACAGTTCCTGTGAAAGGAAGAATTATTTTAAAATTAATATTTATTTTAGTATTGTCTTATGCCACCTTTTTTATCCATGTAAACATTTTCTTCCTCTAGTGTTCTGAAGGAGCAAACCTGTGAAAGTAACGCTGATACCAAGTCTTACAAAAGACTTTCAAGTGCTAGTGCTACAACACAGGAGTAGTAGAAAACAGAATGGGCTTAACAGGGTTTCCAATACCAGTCTTGAAATGGGAATCACATGATGATTTAATGTTTTGGCAGTTGGAAAAACATAATGCTTCTGCACAAACCCAACAGTTTGTTTTATGCTGCATATTCTATTGCTGGCTTGACAAGGAAATCAGGGCACTCTTGCATTCCTCTGCTCTAGGAACTTTTTCATAGTGCAGCAAGATTTATGAGAAAGCAACTGAAGATTTGAGTTGTGAGAATGTCTTTTCCTTGCAATGTGTGCAATCCAAGTAGCATCATCAGCTCTTCATTTCTTCACAGTACCTCATTGCTTAATGTGTACCGTACACAATACACATAGTGATGTGTGGTTACCATTCAGTAGAGAAACAGATTAAAAAAGAAAATTTTTTCAAGAGTATGTGTTCTTGAAATTGGTATTTTATTTTAATTTCTATTGTCTGATTTCTTTATTGTGGTTATTATATGCTTAGAGGAAGACAGGAAGAGTTTTAGATAGGAAGAGAAACAGTTGCTCTGTCAAAGTAGAGTCTCATACTTGGCATGAGCATTCCTCAGAAATGATGTCTATTGAATTGAATGTTGGAAAACTGTAGCTGTTCTGCTGAACTTCTTAAGAGTAAAACATGTCCTCACCCACCTCTAAGAGCCAGATTTGGAGGTGGTCCTGTGAAGACAGAACTCAGAAGATTGCACAGATCTTTATCTTGCTAGTGCATGCAACTATATAATCTAAATGTTTTCATATTTGGCTTTAGATGTTTTGGTTTTCCAGATAAGCCTGTTACCTGATGCTTGCTTACATTTAAGTTGGTATTTTTCTGGGCATTGTGTTGTCCTACCTCATATCCCCTAATACAGTTTAATAGATCTGATTTCTACTTTCTATGCATTAGCCAGACATAAAGTTACAGGGTTACTCTTAATCTTCTTGCTCAGTATCACAGTCTTATCAGCCACGACAGGCCTAGTTCTTGATGATTAATATCCTAGATATTCAGGTTAAGTTTGTCCTTAAAGGACAGACCGATGGGTTTTCAAGTAGAGAAAAACATAAATTACCATTATTAATATCGTGAAGGCAGACAGAAGGAAATACAAAATGACTTCAAGTGTAATGACAAAACCCAATCACAACCTGAGGGATATTTTGTGGAAAGTGTGCATTAAAGACTTTATAAGAGTGGATTCCAAAATATGAAGAACCAGCCCAACACTGCTGCCCCCATTGCCAACCTTCTTTATTCCTGGTTTTCATCTCAACAAAGTTGGACTGTTTGAGTGTTTCTGAACCCTCTTGTTTTGAGGGTTGTGTTATCAGGATTGAAGCCCCTCTGTGCTGTATGTAGACTGGCATATAATGAAGTGGTGTCTCTCTACAAGAGTTCTTGCACTTTAAACGTGCAGGAGAAGGTTTGATCACCAATTTTACAATAATTAACTCCCATGGCTTGAACTAATTAATTTCAGACAGTTGTGTTGAGAGCAGGATAAATTCCCTAGATCAACAGGAAAGCACTTCACAAAATGCCCAGGCATGTACAAAGGACTCTGTGGCTTCATCTCACAATTTAGTGTTTCATTAAATATATTAAAACTTTATCTTGGAATGAAGTAGTGTGGGCAGCATATGAGGACAGTGGGAGGCTAAAACCCATATTTACATCTCATTGTGGAGGAGGTGGGAAGCTGTGGGAGGGAGTAGTGTGCAAGGGAGAGGTCAGGAGCCGTGGGGCAGTGTTGAAAAGCAAGGCTGCACCTTCATTGATGTCAGATTTGTACAGGAATTTACATGGCAGATATTTTCACTGTGTAACTGAAGAAAAACTTTCTACTTTAGTGTCTCGGCCCCTTAGTTCTCTACAAATAGTGCAGGTTTTTCCAGTAGCATCAGTGACGTGAGGATTAGACTTCTAAACCCAGTTCAGGCTATCTTAGGGTAAGAGCACAGCGCAGCTATTTATATTCACACAGTTTCTCATGTGGATTCCTTGGCAAAAAACAGATCGATCTTTTTATGTTTATTTGAATTCTGAAAAGTCCATTTTTATCTTATTTAGATAAGCAAATACTCAGAGATGGCTTCATTAAGAAAGAATGTAAAATTCTGTGTATGTATTACTTGCAAGGTAAACGGGAACAAAAATAGCATGTTTGTTTCATAAAATTATAGGAATGGACCAGAGGGGTTTCTCTCAAGTAAAATTGTAATTAAAGGGAAAAATATTCATTTCTAATTTCAGAGATCATAGACAATACTTAATAAAAACTGGATTTTGGGAAATACACTTTTTGAAATATTATAACTCTAAACCAATAAATGATGATACAATAATGAAATTAAATTAGTATTCTACATCTATTGAAAGTTATTTTAATTCCGTAGAGAATGGTCATATTTTCACGGTGCACTTGGACTGTTTGCTTGCACTGTGTAAACCTGGCTGTGATGTGTTTTCAGAAGCAAAACAAGTGTAAGAAACTATTGACTGACAGAATTAGATATTGCAAAGCAGCTGAGGTACTGCAAACTGTTATTCATTCCAATAGCGAAGCCTGATGTCAAAATCCTTTGCTCATACAATCCCAGAGTTTTGGGCCAAGACCCCAGCACATTCTGGACATGATTTTGTAGGACAGCTGTGCCCTGCAGAGTCCTCTGCTGTTGGTGTTCCTCTCATCCCTGTGTGAAGTCTGGCCAAAGGACACTGCAGGACCCTCCAGGCCCACACACAGGAAAATCACGAGCACCCAGATCTTGTACAATTACCATCAGGGCAGGGCCTCACCTGGTGTGGATCAGAACTGGAAGCTGGGAAGCCCTCCCTAGTCTCCTCAGGCATAACAACTACAATTACCAATACCCATGTGCCTCATCTACACTATGAGATTAATGATCTGTCTCCTCGCATTTGTTTTTCTTCAGTTGGCATGGTGTGATTTCAGTTTTTATTGGAAAAATAGCCAAGTAAGGGGCATCACTCTTGTTCTGAATGCAAATGTAGATGTCTATGCTATGCACATTTTCTCTCTTAGATATTAAAATAACAAAGTAATGTTAAAAGTTGTTCTTTATCAGCTTGTAAATGGACATCTGTGCCAAGTTGTTTAGACTTCATTTTTTTTATAATGGAAATGCTGAGGAATACTTGTATATGTAGAGCTTTAATTAAAAGTTATTCTTACTAATTTTTAAAAATCAGTTTGGGCCATGTAAAATTCAGTGGTGTAGGCTAGAGACGCAGCTCATCTGAGGAAGTAGAGGTTTGTTTCAGCTTTGACTATCTAGACGAAAAATCCAACCATCACTCAAAATAACATTTCAGCAACTTAAACTAGAAGCTACACTGTTTCTTCTGAAATAGCCTTTTATTTTTAAAGCATCCTTTGCATCATCGCTAACAACATTATGTTTTTCCCGTGATGCCACTGGCAGGGCCTAAACAGCACTGAGACTACTTTACTCATCCCTGAACATCGAGTGGTAAGCAGTAAGCAATATTCATGCTTCCTTGCATGAATTTGTGTGGCGTCTTCTATTACCGTATGCCAAAAAGTCCCTCACCAGAAAATTTTCCAATTTCAAGCAAGCCATCCTTCCAAAAAGAATTGTTTTTCTAGCGTATAAAAATGAATGTGAGCTTTGAGTTTATTCCTAGTGATGGCTGAAATGATAAATTCAAGCAAATCAAAAGGATAATAGACAAAATTGAAAAGTTAAGTATTGGTGGAGTAAACTGGAAAGTTTGCTTTTTTTTTATGATTGTTTTGGTTTGATGGGATACAGGATATATTCTGACTGTGGTGTTATTAACAAATGTGGGATTCCTTTTTATCATAATAATCCGGAGGGCTCTCTGAGTCAGCATGATACTTTAAAATGTTTTAAAGAGCAAGAAACAAACACTGACACCATTTAAAATGTGTTGCCTTTTTTTTTTTTCTTATCGTAGTAAGTAATAAGGAACGGCTCAAAATATCCTCTTATTGAAATTTACAGATAACTGTATTAATTGTCAAATATATTGGAAGATTTAAAGTTACCCTTATTTTTTTATGGAGAAAAAATTACAAAATTAAGATAACTGAAGAAGTACATGCTGAGGTATATTAAACCTGTCTGCTTGCTTACATTGGGCTCTGGTGTCTTACATTAACACATACGCTTTCTTAGCATATTTTTTATTTTTCTTTGTTCTTGTTTAATGTCTTTTTTTTTTATCCAGAGAGGCTTTTTCTGTGCATTTAAATTTTAGTGCAAACATCTTGGTGTCTTAAACTGCTTTGAAATGCATGTTTTCAAGCTTTCAGATTTTAATGTGGTTCAAAATTGAAACACAAATGTGGTAAAGGTGCAAAAAGTAGCTTGCAAGTTTTAGCTACAAGAAATAAGTGGGGTTTTGTGTTTCTTTGAATGGGAGAGGTTATAGTTTTGTACGCAGCTTTGGAGCCTGCATGAAGCAAACTGGAAATTGGGGTGTGTGGTGTTAAGAGTGTTGTTAATACACTTCTTTGAAGTGGGTAAGCGCTTCAGTTGTGTGGATTCCTCCAAGGAAGAATATTGAAGAGAACTTCATGCAAAGAATGAATATATGTGTGTGTGTGTGTGTGTATATATATATATATATATATATGTATATATATAATGGGAACTGAGTTTACTGTGCATAAACCAGGAATTTGCCTTTTTGATTTTCAGTAGAGTGCCTGTATATTTTCATATGTTGTGGAAATGCATTTTCAGGAGCTTTTAGCTTTTGGAAATAAATTTTATCAAATGGTTATATTTAGCACAGCGGCACTTTAATCAGCATGTTTCTTCTGTAGCTCTAAGCATGTTTAATTCTGTGCAAAGTGAGGTATTTAAATAATTCTGTGTGAACAGGAGATCTGAGGGTGATAATTTTGTTTTTAAGCCATTAAATGTTTCCTACCCTTAAAATTATGAAGGCTTTTCTTGTATTTTGATTCAGCTTTCAAACCCTTATATTTTTGTCCATTACTCTATTCTGAAATTTTTTTCTGCAGTGGATTGTTAATTCATAAATTAACTACTTGCTTTGTAATATAATACATTACTGAATAATTTTGGTTTGTTAAATTGTCTGTGATAAAAACTAATTTGCCTGTATGATTATCAAATGATCATATAGGCAGTAAATACAAGAAATATTTGGTTTGTGGACTGGATCTTCTAAGCAAAATGTTGCAAATCAATTTGATTTTGTAATTTCAGCAGTTTTCTTGTCTGATAATGTAGGACTATGACAATAAAACTCCTAGATGTGCTGATGGGGATCATGTTATTAATGGAACTTCTCAACATACCCGTTAGTCATAGCCAGAGATTCTTCACTGTGCTATAACTAATGAAGCTCATGTGTTGGGTTACTCCATCCCTGATTAGTGTTGGTTACTGCTTTGTTGCTGAAATTGCTGCTGTAAACCATCTTCCCACACTGAGATACAAAAAGCAGAAGGTGAAGGACACTGAGGTCTGAACCTGCAACCCCAGCTCTTCGAGGCTGGAACTTGTGAAACCTTGAACTCTGGGGAACTGCATTTGGGAAATGTGTTTCTAAATGTAGGCCCCTAAGAAACTTGCGGTTTTCTGACTGAGTATTAATCTGAAAAGTATTGCTGTAAGCCAAGTTCCTCTGTCTTTGAAGTACAGACATGGAGAGTGCTGGGATATTTAGTAGCAAGGTGTATTTGGAGGAAGCTCTGTCACCTACAAGGAGAGAGAGCTGTGCTAAATAGCCTGTAAGGGCATAATTTTCCAATTAGGTGGATGACCAGAAAGAGAAATCCCTCTGAGTCCTGTGAAAATGTACAGGATTAAATCATTCAGGTGTAAGCTGCAAAATGTGTTTGCTTTTCAGGTACGGTGATATCATTAGACCACCGAGGGCGAGCTGACTGTATGGACCAAGGTTAGCTCTCTCCATGTGCTTTGGTGGATGAACAGGGCTGTGGAAATGTTTACCACAGTCACTTCAGTTTCAATCCAAAGTCGTTTCTCTGAAGTGCTTTCAGTTACCGTGTTTAGTGGTTGATGCCACATCCAGCAGCTCGCTTTCCCCTCTCCTGTTCGCGGTGACCAGCTTATTTGCTTTGGCCCTGGAGAAGCGTATCTGAGCCACCTGTGGTGGCCAGGGCTGCTCATCAAGTATTTAGCAGTGCAGGAGAGTTCTGATGGATTTGAATGTAGCGTGTGACCACCAGCCCACATTTACACACTGTACCCAAACCCCTTTGGGCAGAACCGAATATGGGGTCTTACAGCCTTACTTTGTCTTGAGCTATGCTCTATTTATTTCCATGTTGACATCTTGGTCTTCCCTGTGACCTCTCCTGTGAGTTAGGATTTCCTACTGCAGGGCTTTAGTTCATGTCTAACGTGAGGATTCCAAGTCCAGGTACTCAGGGAGGGTTGTTTGGTTGAACATGGTCCAATACCCTGACCTCCACTGGATGTCTAGACAGAAGTTATCGGTTATGGGGTAACTAGAAGTATTAATATAATTTGTTATGAATCCAGTAAGCTTGCACTTACGTAGCCACATGAAAAGAAAATTTAACTTTTCATGATAGGCCATTACAGGGTTCAATTAGCACATCTGTCCACAGGCTATGAAGTCGCTTAGTTCTTGTAGAGTTAATTAGACTATTAAAATAGGAAAGTTACTACAGGAGAAGAGGAAGGCAGTATTTGGTTTTGAACATATAGTTTTTGTAAACTATCTTTGTAGCTGATGGATTTATTCAATTTTCTGGAAGCACTGGTAAATGCTGAACACTTGCAGTAACACCACACGTACAGTGCCTTGCATTGGAAGGGACCTCTGGAGGTCTCCTTGGCCAGCCTCGTACTGAAGGCAAGGCTGACTTCAAACTTAATCAGGTTGCTCAGTCAGGGCTTTTCTTGGTCAAGCTGTACGATCTCTGAGGATGGAGATTACGCAGTCGCTCTGGGCAACCTGTTATACCCATTCCCACTAAGACACACCCTCGTATCCAGTAGGAATTTCCCTTGTTGCAACTTGTGGCTGTTGCCTCTTGAATTTTCACCCTGTGCCTCAGGGCTCCATCTCTTCTGAAATTCCTCATTGGGTATCATCTAATTATTCAAAAGCTTCTCTTTGCTCTCTGTGCTGTGTTGGGAAGTTTTAATTTGGTTACTTGTATTCCAGAAGGTACACATCACAGAATATCTGCTCTGATGAGGTGTAACTTCATTTAATAACTGCAGGTTGTCTGAGATCAATTAATTTGAATACAGATCTGGAAAGAGCTGTTAAGAAATAAGATGTACTAATCTGTAATGTTTTATGATTGACTGATGGAAATTACTAACATTTTACATATTTTAAATCTGTAGGTGCATATGTATGCACAGAATTGCATGAATATGCAAGACTGATCTTGTTCTTCTTGTGAAATGCAGATGTAGCAAAATGTAAAGGAATAATTTATGGGTTTAATAAGCAGGGCTGTCACTATCCATGATGAGTAATTCTGTGTACAGAAGGAGAGGGAAGTGATAAGTATTCCCCTTCTCAAAACAGATTCACTGGTGACTACTGCATCTTCTTAAATTGAGTTAGACCTTTAATAACTGAGCAGGATTATGATACATTTTAGAAAATGAGCAAACTTTGATGGCACTAAAGATAAAAGTATTACTCAATTGTATGGAATAATGTAATTATAAGTATGCTATCCAAAGAATTTGGGACAGTCCTTTGGCAGAAGCTTTTTGTATCTTAACTAAATATTATTTATTGATTTTAATTTATTTTTTTCTTTGCGTATATGGATGTTGTTAGTTCACTAGGACAACATCTGTGCTCACACAATCTGTCTTTTTAAATTAGTGGCTGGGGTCATCTGGTTTCAGGCTGATTCCAGACATTGTAAGTTGTTAGAATGTAATTGTATTCTGTAATGTGCAGGACACAGATTTCTTGCCAACTTTAGCTGGGGGGTTACGTGCTCAGAGCAGTTGGTTTGGGTCTTGGAACAGTGGGATTACTAACTACTTGTTGGTTATTCTGACAGAGTGGAAGGAGATATAATCTGTTCCTGAAGCGACGTCTCAGGGTAAAACAGTGATGAATGATATTGCAAGTGGCTTGGATGGCTGCAGTAATAACATGCTTCACTGTGTGATGCCTTTTGCTAACTGGGAGCAAGGTTCACAGTTATAAAGTTCTCTGAGAAAGCACAAGATATTTTTCACTTGCATCCTTGCCTGGCTTAACAGGGAGAAGACAGAAATGTATTCCTCTGAATTATTCTTTTTTGTTCCTACTCTAATAAAATGAAAACCCAATTCAGTCCTATATAAATACAATTTTCCTGATCAGTGTGGTTAAAAAACCTACCAACCAACCAAACAAACCACCAACCTTCCTTAGCATGGAGTTAAATTTAGACTATAGTATTAGCTTCTATGGAGAGCACTGTGCTGTATGAACCTCTAGTCTTGTAAACAATTTGGTAGAGATGAGTATTGATATGATAATAAGTGATATTATCTAATATTATGTTAAATTTCCTAGGAGAGTGAGGTAATGGTCTTTATTTGCTTAACATTAATTACTGCAGCCTAATCAGTGAAAAAGGTGAATGTTGTTATTATGACATTCTGGCATGCTGAGAAATGAAAATATGACCTTTAATAGATCAATTAGAATACTAATTATCCTTTTGCATTGATACATTTTATGAGATTTTTTTATTTTCCCTAAGAAAGAAAAATACTCAGTTTTGAAATGTAGCCCCCGTATTGTTTGTGTGCATTTTCATCTGTAGTCAGTGCTGGGATGTATTTCTCCATGGTGGTTGGTTTAGTGAATCTGGTTATGTGGAAGAAAATGCATGGAATTTACTTTTTGCTACCTGCTTCAAGTCGATGAACTGTACCCTAGCTGGCTTTTTCTGACTAACTGCAGGAAAAAAAAATAATCATGTTGTCAACACTTGTCTTGATCATTTATGACACACTGTAAAGACTGGAAAAGAATAAGTGGTAGCATCGCTCACAGGTATTGCTTCACTAACATGTATTTATTCTTCATATACCAGCTATCTACATGTAGTGTTTGTTAATATAAGCAGTTCATTTTGAAATGATTTTACCTGGATATAGCCCTTGTTAAAACTTGTGCAAGTGTATCTTCAGCTATGAAGAAACTGAAGAATTGAGGCAATTTTGGGGAACAATTTCTGTTATATTTTAGAGCAACAGCAGTACTTGTTTTTTCTAATCATATGCCTATATCTTCCACAGATTGATAAAAGACATGAAAGCAAAGATTCTATTTTCTTCAGGGATGGTGTCAGGAGAATTGATTTTGTTCTCTCCTATGTGGATGATCTTAATAAGGAATGGGAAAAAAAGTTGGTAAGTTAGTCTTTTTGAGGTTCTCTTAATTCTTACCTATCATAATCTGAATATCAGTTAGAATGCCTTTCAAATCACTGCACTCAGCTGGAACTGGATTTAGCTAAAAATGTGATAGTTGTGTAAAAAGCCATTTAATGTACTGAAATTTCTGTGTAATTTACTGTTGTGCATTAAGACCTAACTTTGTTATATTTTTGGGTCTTTATTTACTGAACTGATCACTTTCCATTGATTAGGTTGGTCAATATTTTATACAATCAATGCCAAGTAATCCATATGATTTTGCTTTCTTCATTTAACAGTCTTATAGTTAGCTGTGGCTTTGGTGAAACCATATCAGTAAATAGTTAAATGAAGGAGGTTTCTTCTAAATAAGCAAAGTATTATCCAAATGAGATATAACAATAACTTTTTTTTTCCCCCATCCTTTGACTGTAGTTAGAGCAGAAATGGATTCTTAGATCCAAGAATCCATGCAGTTTTCCTTTTAAGACTTACAAGACTTTCTTTTTTAATAGCTTGAGCAAAATAAACACGAAGCTCCTCTTTGAGCTCTTCCCTGTGCTTGGATTGTTCTCTATGTATGTGTATTCATCCTTCTAGAGGAATATTTAAAGTGGCTTTGATAGGAGACCTGCTGTGTAACAGAGCATGAAATACAGGCTTTCTTTAAAATGCTGATCACTGATCATCCCTGAACTTCCCAGTAAGACCTGATCGCCTGAATGGTAGCAGTAGGTCAGATGGAATCAGTAAGTGACATGTATTTGTTTCTTGCTCACACTGACACTTGAGGGCTAACTTGAACTTGAATTTGACATATTACATAAACCCAAGGTTACATTTATAAACTAGTCTTTTCAATATATATCTCCAAAGCTTGTTCTTTAAATAATAATTTTAAAAAGACAAAAAAGAAGACTTCTTTCTCATGTAATCACATTATTCTGAAAGATAAGGCTTTCTGAAGAAAACTAATTGTATGGAGGCTTATGAAAAAATCATTATCAAAATTAAAGGTCTGTGAAGTAAAGAACTATATTTCATCTATATACTATATCTCATCTATATCTTGTCGTATTAAAGTGTTTTATAATCAAAAATTATAATTTCCTTTGAACAAAAAATGTACAATTGGGCAGTTAAAAAAAAATTGCTTACTGCTTACATTTCTTTATGAAGGAAATCCTGTTTTCATTAAGGAGCTATGCTGCCTATATACAAATACGATCCGGAGTAGAACACAGCTCCTACATTATATTCTTGTTACCTTAAAAAAAACCCCAATAACCTTCTCTGTCATCAGCTCTGATGCTTTTCCCAGCTTAAGCATCTCTCAGTCTGCTTTCTTCAGCTAGCCACGTTCAGGAGATTTGCCTGGAGACCAGGGGTATCTTACAGCCGTGTACCACAGGTTTATACTTTTTCAAACCCACACTGACTCTTTTTCAGGCTGTCATCCTAGCTAGATTCCTCCTTCTACCATAAAGCAAAATGAATTTAAAAAAGAAGGAAGAGGAGACCAATCAGTGTAGAGAGAAGAAAAAGATATCTATGCAAAATATGTGAAAGCAACTCTTAAAATAAACTTTTCCATTAGTCATACTCAAATAACATGAGGGAAGAGATAGAGACAGGGAAAGAAAACGAGCCAGATGCTGTCTAGTCACTCATTCATACTGTGTGCAGCAATTTCCTTCTCATTAGTTCATAGGTCATTAGGGGGTGGCAGGAATCTTTGCCAGACCAGAGGCCAGGTACGTGGGTGTCATTATTGACTGAAGGATTCACATGAGGAAGAACCCAAGAACTAGTAGCTAACATTGGAATTCCTCTTTGAGGTAAAAATGCACTTAGGAAGAAACATCTTTCTCTTGCAAAAGAGTCGAACTTCTGCGTCAAGTTCCATGAGGTTTAATTCTGTATATGTCTGGTACTTGCAAAAGAGTTTATGGCCCCATGGAAAAAGGCGTTTGGTTTGTGGCCCCGTAGGTTGGCTCTGTGGTCACAGAACAGACAGGTGTGAAGGTATCAGTGTTACAGTGTGTGAGTTTGTACACAGTTCTTGGGGAATCTGCTAAGAAAATTAAATTTGCCCTATATTTCTGTCCAGCATAGACCTTTACACAATGAATATGCCTTTAAATTAACACAGACTTCTTAGTGTAGAATTACTGTGCTGTCATCTTTGTGCAAACAAGATTTAAATAGTGATGTGCTGCAGCCTTTGGAATTTGTCTGACATACTGTACTTGCTATTGTACAGTCATCGCAGGAAAGAAATGTGAATTTCTTTTACTGTAGTACCATGACACAGCAAAATGTAACAGCTAAGAATAGAAACGTTCATGGGAAGAGAATACCAGTTGTGACACAGTTTTATTCCCTTGTCTCAAGGAAACAGCTTTATTCTGCATTTCTAAGAAAGGGATGAAGAACATCTTTGTGCGTTTCATCATGGCCCTGATACAGACATAAGAGACTGTCTGTTCATCTTTCCTGTAGCTTCCTGCAGAGCAAATGCATTAACTACTTTGATGTTCCCCAGAAACTTTGCAGCTTAAACTCTATTTTGAACTTGCCTTCTATAAGCTACGTAAAGTATTCCTGACCACAATGTCTGTCTAAACAAAAATTAGGATTACATTTTTGTGAGACAATACTTCGTATTTTTCCTCAAAGCCTCTAGCAGATAAGTGGAAATATTTTACCCGTATATGAAATGCATGTGAATATGGAAAAATAAATATAATTTTTAAAAGTATCTAACAAAGTATTCATGTACAACCAGGGCATGATCTTTATTGTTTGTAAGTGTATTTCATCACAAGAAACCCCAGAGCATGAGGACTCTGGGTTCTCTGTGCAAAGTAACTTGTTCCTGTGTTTGCTGGAAGCAAAGTCCCCGTGTCCCCAGTGGGGCATGGAGATACAGAAAGACATTTCATCTAGTCCTTTTCCACTTGTCATCATCTCAGACGGAAAATTCTGCTTTCTCACAGGCACCAGATAGCCCAAAGTTTGGGAGCCAAAGCAAAGCATCAGGTGCGTGTTGTTCCTGCTGCACCCTGTGAGCTGGCTGGGCAGCCTGAGCTCGAACTGAGCCCATCTGTGTTAGGCTTGGGAAGTGAATTGTTTTCTCGGGATATCTGCTAAGAGCAGCAGAGTTCTTGTATGCTTTACAGTACCCTGTGATTGTTCCTAAAAGCCATATTTATTTCCCATCTCCTACACATGATTGCAGTTGGAATAAGCCCAAGCATCCTGATATGTGAAAGGCTTTTGTAAGCTTGGCGCTCCCTGCCTAAAGGAAGGGGCAGAGCGAGGAAGAGGAGTTTGATTAACAAATAGTATGTTGTAAACTTATTTTATTCTCCTGTTTGTTGATTGTAGTTACTAGCAATAACAGCATTGTTATCAAGAAATGAAACAGGTTTATGACACTTGTCTGTCTTCCTTAGGTACCTAATCTTGCCGTGTTGCATCTGCATTGGGTGTGTTATTACTGCTGGACTTTGGATCTAGCTTTGTTAATCTTACCAGGATGATTCATTACAGCCAAGCATACATTAGATTGTAAAGTTACTCTGTACCAGTATGCAGGATATCCACAGCAGTGTTTGGAGAGGTTAATGCTCTGCTGACCTCTCTCCTCTCCACAATGGTGTCAGAAAATGTGGTTTCAGTCTTTTACAAATGCTTTGGAGAGGCTTAAGAGCTGGGCTTAAACAAAATTGCCCACTATCACTGGTCTTCACTGCTGTGATTACTTAAGTTGTGTCCCTCTTCCCTCTGCGATTGCAGAGTCACAAATACATGCACCAGCTCTAGCTTTTTTAGGTTTGGGACAGTAAGCTTAAAATTCTTACAAGTACGTATAAAAACAGCACTGCTCCAAGGGTATGTTTTGCTCATTTTAAACCTTTGACGTCGACATGAAGAAATCCAGTATTTGGCAGGAAAAGGGGGAGCACTGATTTTTTTTTGCAGCCTTTTGCAGATGGTTATTTCAAGTGACTGGAAAGTACAGTACATTTGCATGGGTTTGAGAGAAGGTGGCTTATGGGAAGAGAACAAAGTGGTAAAAAGAACATAAATTCTATTAGGGCTCTGAAATTCATCACACTAGGTGTACAGTAAGGAAAGATCAGTAAGATGGGGCCAGACTCTTTGGCTGTGTCTGTTATTAAGCTGCACAGCTGGAGGAGGAGCTGGCTGGTGTCTCTGGTGGCCAAGAACTCTCTGAGCTGACTTGCTTGGCACTCCTCCAGCGTTTGCTGGGGAAAGAACACATGCCAGCGTGCTTTGTGTGGAGAAAATGTAATCCAGAATAGCACATCACGTAGCTTTGGATACCATGCTTGAATGTCAGCTTCTATATTGCACTTTCAAACATAATCATAAATCACCTTTTGGTTGTATTGTTCTCCACTAGATCAGCAGGTCAGCAAACAAGAGTTCTCAGGTGTGTTTATACAGGTGCATGTAGGCAGGTTTGTGAGATAGGGGAGTTAAAAAATAATGCATGGAATGGCATTTGCCTCCAGCATGTGCTAGAACTCAGGAGTTATATTTCCATGTTTATCTAGGCCAGTGTCTAATTGAATATCTAATAATATTTGGTAAAATCAGATGTGAGAGGTAAAAATGCAAGTCTACTAACACAGGAAAATATATCTATACCTCTTCACACAGATTTGAGGGCCATTAAAGCTGCTCTTCAGTCTGTATTCATTTTTCTGAGTAGTTTATGCAAACTGGAAAGCAAAGAGGGCAGCCTGTTCCTGATACACAGGAAAATGAAATTGGCTGAAAACTATGAGGTTTGGGGTTTTTTAAGTGTGTTTGAAAAATGTCATTTAAGGTCTTTCAGTAGAGAACACATCACACAGCATTGCAGGTTTTAGCTAGGAAAAGAAATGGTAGTCTAGCTAGTGCTTTCTAAAGAGGCTAAGGCTCAGTATTTAGCTTAACTTGTGGTTATTCTGGCAATTTTTCAGCAAATTTTATATAATTAAAAGGAAATTAATTCAGTCTCCCAATAGGAGCAAAAACTCTACAGAGAAGGAGGGGAAGAAAACGTTCTTACCTAGAGACACCACTTAGGAATTGCCTGGCAAAATACAGAGTTCAAGAACGGTCGCATACTCAGCGAGGTCGTGCAGCCATGGTGCACTGCTTCAGGCAGGTTTATTTATCTCTGCATGAAGTCCACACTGACTTTATGCAAACTAAGCATATGGAAGCTTACACGTGATGACTTGTTAGTCTTATCTAGTTTTACAGCGATGTTGTTTGTGAAGCATGCTGTTTGAATTGTCTGTAATCAGTACTTGAACATCTGTATCAGGCACGATTGTTAAACGGGTCAGTAGATGTCACTATAACTGATCAGTCTTCCACATGCATCCAGAATTTTTCTTTTCATCTCCTTTCAATGTTCTCTTAGAAACATAGCTAAACTTGAACATTAGCACACCACACGCACCGCCCCCCCCGAAGAATCAGAAATGGTCAAGACGCACAAGTTCATTGACTTCTCTGAGAAACAAGACTGCAGTTTATGAGCCTGTTCCTAACAAACAGGTTTCCTGTTGCTAGTCAATGTAATTCCCGAGGTGTTGCCATCACTAGGCTGGTCTGCACTCAGAAGCGGCCAGGAATGCTTCAGCTGGCTTTTGTCTGTTGGTCTGCTTTCTTTTACAGAGGTCGCATAGCATTAAGGCAGTTAGGAGAAGTGAAACTCAAAGTCATAGAATGTGTTGAGTTGGAAGGGACCTTCAAAGGTCATCTAGTCCAACCCACTGCAGTGAGCAGGGACATCTTCACTAGAGCAGGTTGCTCAGAGCCCCATCCAACCTGACCTTGAATATCTCCAGGGATGCAGCCTCTACTACCTCCCTGGGCAGCTTGTTCCAATGATCCACCACCCTCATATTGAAGAACTTTTTCCTGATATACAACCTAAATCTCCCCTTTTCTAGTTTAAACCCATCACCCCTTATCCTATTGCTACATGTCCTTATGAACACTTCTTCCCCAGCTTTCTTACAGGCACCTTTCAGGTACTGGAAGGCCACTAGAAGGTCTCCCCAGAGCCTTCTCTTCTCCAGGCTGAGCAACCCCAACTCTCTCAGCCTGTCTTCATCATAAGCCATCAGTAAGTGATCAGTTAGTTGCTAACTTCATCAGTTAATAAAGTGTGTTTATTTTTCTTCAGGAAAGAAGAAAAGAATTTGAGAGTAATCTGCAAAAGGCTGGTTTGGAACTAGAAACAGAAGACAAGAAGGTAAAAAAAAGAAAAAGAGAGAGAAAAATTAAGACCAAGGAAATAGACCTTCAAATTAGTAATTAATATATACCACTTTGTTTCTTTGAGTAAAAAATTACAAGTTATTCTAGCAGATTTCAGTGGAGTGTGACTAATTTAGGTGAAAAAAAGCTTATTGTGTTTATTTGAGTTATTTTTCCAGATATGTTCATACGAAGTGTGGAAGCAAAGTAATTTTGATTCAGGAGGAAGTGATGGCTTATGCTTTCATAACAGTATGAAAGCAATTCCAAAATAACTGTGACTTCATGTAAACCCATGTAAATGGGAAGTATGCTCACAGCTAGATGTAATCCCACCTAACACCTAGTAACGTGTTTGGAAGTCAGTGAATGGGTTAGCGTATGCCCACTGGATGTTGTAATGATGAGGAAGGACCCTGGTGTAACAACCTGGGGATGTTTAATTACTGTTACTGTTTTGTTTAATAACTGGAGAATACGGGATGCTGACTTCTTCAGTTAGCGTACTCTTTTTTCTGCCAGAGATGGAGTGGGGCAAAATAACTCTTGATGAAGTTCAGACTCTGTAACATCTATAGATGGGGATTCATTGAGCAATGTGTTAAAAATACCTTCTGATTGCCGCTTTCTCCTGTGTATGCAAGAAACGCTAGAAGAACATTTACGGTTGGGTGAGGCTTGTGATAAGATTATTCCTTATCGTAGCTGCGAGGCTGTAACAGATCTGAGCTCTGGTTGGGAACTCCCTTTTTGCAAGGAGTCCTGTGTGCTCTGCTCAGCTGTATGAAAACTGCCCTCTCCAGGAAAGAGAACAGCTTTACAGTCCGGCACAGTGGGCTGCAGGATGGGTGGGCTACCAGGGGCCAGCCCTGCACAGCAAACCCTTGCGTTTCCAATGTGCTCAGAGTGCAATGAGTGTTTTCAGACCTCAGTGTACAAGATAAACTGAGTTTGAAAAGCCTTTGTTAGCATTTATTAGTGCAAAGATTATCTTTATGAACAAACAACCACTCAGATAAGCTTTTCAGTTTAAAAAAAAAAAAATATATATATATATGCGCATATATATATATATACACACACAAAAAGTCCTCCTGTTCCCCCTATGTAAAAGGTAATAAATTTTGTATAACAACTATTCCAACTATTCTCATCAATCTTGCAGTAAAACACAGTTTAGGCTTATGTCTGTTTCAACTTTCCTGGGGCAGGAATCTGAAGATGGCAAGATTTATTTTGTGAAGATCCATGCCCCATGGGAGGTTCTGATCACGTATGCAGAAGTGCTGAATATTAAAGTTCCCATCAAGGAGAATGACATTCCCTCAACGGTGGAGAACCCCTTGGACTGTATGCTTACACCACTCAGGCTTCCCGAGAAGGTGATGCACCCTGAACCGGATTATTTCACGGCCCCATTCAGCAAGGACAAGCAGGAGCTGTACCTCATTAACGACGAGAACACTTTCTTCTCACCATCCATGAGAAACAGAATAGTACGTATGTGAATTTGCCTACTTACATTTACGTGTAGATTTACACAGCCCCATCAGAATATTTGTGCAAGGAAGGAGTAATATAAACTGTGATATCTGTGGGTAAATATGAGGAATCTTAGATGCCTGTGCACTTTTCTTAGAAATCAGGAATAGTATTTGTAGCAATGGATCTTCCAGGTGTCTACAAGGCAAGTGTGTCCTCAACGGCCTCATACAGGGTAGGGCCTTCTGAAGCACTTTTTGCTGTTGCGTATTGTTCCTGCAGATTAGACACACTGCACAACCATTACAGGTTTCTGTTAAATGGCCTTAAAGCAAGAGAGATCTGAAATCCTTGTGTTTGAATCTCAGGTTAATTATATTCTTACGCGTTGCCCATATGGAACAGAAGAAGGGAAGAAAAAATTTGGAATTAAGAGACTGCTAAATAATGGCACCTACTCAGCTGCATATCCTCTTCATGATGTAAGTATGTTAGCTTTCTATTCCCTTGAGCATTTCCCGGTGTTTTCTACTTTAGAGAAGCTTGAAGTTCTGCAATTGCATATGCTACACCAGTGTAAAGGAACAAACCATTCACTGCAGTCATCTCCCAGTGCACATGAGTGTGTTGCACCAGCACAACGCTGGGGTCAAGTAACACGATGTGGTGATAGTACTGCTTGACTTAATATCTAAGATTGAAATATGCTTTCTGAAAATGTATTCTCTTAAAACATATATAGAAAGGATTCCACTTAAATAAAGTGGTGAAGTAGAGTGCTAAGTTTAAATGTGAAATTATTTTAACTGGCATATTGTTAAAAGGGATGCATCATCATCATTAATGTTCATTTCTTTTAATGTTGTATTTTGAGTCTGTCGCTGAGGTGTTTTGCCTTTACTCTGATTTGCTCACAGTGCCAGTACTGGAAAAAGGCAAATGATCCAAACTGTGACAACGAGAGGTACACGCTGTACATGGAATGGGCCCGTTTCTTGCGGTTCTACAAAGAACAGCCTTTGGACCTCATCAGGTAAAGACTGTCTGTGTTTTATTATATTTTCTTGCTTTTCATTGTAATATGAGTGTGTATTTGATCGTAGTTTGATCCTGCTTTGAAATTTTTACTACTTTTAAGATACCGTGAGGATTGGATACGTAATTGGGCAGTAGGTCCTAGGAGGACTTGACACGGGGTTTTTACTAGCAGCTGGAAAAATGCTTTATCTCAAGGGAAGCTTCTTTCAATTTAGCCAGAGCTCCTGGGGTCAGGAATATGACAGATAATTTGGCTGTAGAGGAACACATACAAATAATACCTTGCACTTTATAATCAATATCTGCCACAATGTTTAAAGATCAATTTGGAATTTTGAAATTTCAACACAGACTTGAAAAAACTGATAAAATCAGTTTCTGAAGCTTGACTTAATTCATTAAACTAACCTCACCCGAGATCTCTTTTGATTCAGCTCATAAAACAAAAACATTACTTAATTCACAAGTTAAAGTTGCTCCATTTATAACACAACCAGTTGTATTTCTGTGAATTGCCCATTCATTCTAACCATATGATCAGAACTGTTGTGCCCAGTTTCGTTTTTTTATAACTCCTTGGAAAATCAAAAAAAGTAAATCTTCATTTACATTATCCTGTGGGAAGGGGGAAAAGTGATTTTTAAAGCTGGAGCTTCTGCTAGGAGAAAAAAAATGGTCAAAAGGGGCCATATATTTTGTTTGTAACGTCCCATAGCTAGCTTCAAATCTCATTTTTCTGGTGTACATCAATGCATTTACTCTTCTGTTAAATGATAATTTTCCCAAGTGTTTCATTTTGACTCTGGTCAGTTTGCTCTATTGCAGTTTTAAACTTTGCTTTGTATTTCTATTAATTGTTTGTTGGGTTTTTTTTTTTTTGTGTGTGTGTGTTCAGGAAGTACTATGGTGAGAAGATTGGAATCTATTTTGCCTGGTTAGGATTTTACACTGAGATGCTCTTCCTTGCAGCAGTTGTTGGCTTAATCTGTTTTCTTTATGGCTTGTTTACAATGGATGAAAATATGAGCAGGTGAGTGTAATGTTGAAAATCTCCTGGGCTTAGCAATGTGAAAATGTTGTTATTGCAAAAAAAAAAAAAATCAAAAAACCCCAGGTAACAAGTTTTTAAAGCTTGTCAGAGCAGACAAATTTGTTCTTCAGCTGTCTTTATTGACAGAAATGGTGCTGGAAAGCTAATGCAGAATTTGTGACTATTAATTAGTAAGACTCAATTTGTAGGTGAAAAACAATATTTTATTGCCATTGGGCAATAGCTTTTTATATTGGAGTACCTGCAATACATAAAATCCTGAGAGTACCACTGACATCTCTCAAAATTGTTTGTTTCAAGTGTTGATTGTTGCCTTGGCTTTTCTATTTTAATCTGTCTTGCAGAGTAGTTTGACCTTTTTGTGTAGGTCATCATTTGTACTGACTACCAAATATGTGTGTAGAGGACAGATCAGCTGTGTTCCCCTGTCAAAGAGGGATCCAGTCTCTTGGAAACCAGAGTTTGTGTCTTTTTAAATAAGCATTGTATTTATTTCTTCAAGGGTCCCAAGGTTTATTGTATTCAGGGACTGGGGAGTGTGAGGGTGGGGAGAGGAAAAGAAGGTTGATATTTCATTGCTCACTGTTCTTTATAGGCAGCTTCCAGAAAATTTTGAGATTTAACCATAAAAGATGAAAAACAGGTTAAAATTCTCATCCATTCTATTGAATTATGTCATTTTGAGACTTCCATTTTAGCTAGGTTCAGAATTCACCTGGGAATACTGCTGTACATGTTGAGATTTCTCTGGATACTGAAGGACTGTTAGAGGCTTGTAAACTTCACTCGCTGCAGCAGTTCCATTGAAGTGGCAAATTTTACCGTCCATAGCAAAGATGAATTATACCTCTGCTTTTAGAAAAGGTGTTTTGAACACATTACTAACCTGATGATAAATAACATGGTTTATATCTCACCTGAAAGCAATTCATGTGCAGTACAGCTCCTTACAGACTTCTGATTCATTACTGATGGAATCAGAAAGCTCAGACCAAGTGAATTGCTAGATCTCCTCCTTGTAGCATCTGCTACATTTCTTGGCTTGTCCTCACTGACTACAGGTTGACACCAGTGAATGTGACAAGACTTGGCATCTTCTCTGTGAAGCTGTGAATGTTGAGCTCTGAACAAATGAAGCTCTTAATTTTTTTTTTTTTTAAATAAATTTCATATAGCAGCTTTTAAGATGACACTGTACAATATTTTCTCCTCAGCAAAGAAATCTGTGACCCTGAAATTGGAGGAGAGATCATCATGTGCCCTCTTTGTGACCGAGAATGTGATTACTGGAGACTAAACACCACCTGTGCGTCCTCAGAGGTCTGTATCTGGTTCTCCAACCACTTGTCATTTTCATTCATACTAAAACCCCATTTTGGTCCTGACCTGTTCCTGTGTATTCTGTTGCAGTATTCCCATTTGTTTGACAACGTGGCAACTCTCTTTTTTGCCATTTTCATGGGCATATGGGGTAAGTAAATTTGAGAAGTTTTATGTCAAGCAAGAAGGAGATCTTGGCCAAACTGCTGTGGGGCAGTGGAAGGGCAAACTGCTCTTGGAGGGACACTTGTGGTGGGAAGAAGGACAATAAAGGCTTTGCTTTAATATCCTGCCTCAGATGCAAAAGTTATGAAATAAAAATAATTTAAAGCTACAGAAGGATTTAGCTTAACTGAAACCAAACAAAATCCAGCAGGTATCTAGGATGTCATCACCGTTGTGTACTCTAACTGCTAACATTTCTTTCTTTCCTTAGTAACCTAAGACAGAGGTTACAACCTTGTACAGTCCTTGTAAGATCACACCAAATGATACTTGTTCAGACTTTAAGATCATATTGTCTTGAATAAATGTTCTTTTCTTAAACTCTGTGAAGGTTTATAGATGCAGGATAGTGTAGTCACTGCTTCTTATTTCCTTTAATACCTTGTCTCCTATTTCATACTGTTTGTATGAAATATCATCATTAAATCCTCAATTTTAATACAGATACTTCATTAACGTGCAAAGATCACTGTGTGCCCATACAAAATCCCTTTGTGTATTTATTATCAAAGGATCCAGCCACTAACTTTTTCACAGAGAATTCTCAAAAATTATTCTCTGAATATGATGATGTTGTATGGCTGTTTTCCTAAACTTTTCTTGGTTTTAAGCACTAGCCTTTGAGTGACGTGGATTAGTCATTCAGGAAGTACTAGCAAAAGACTTTAGAACTGCAGAAGATAAGCTTTCCTGTGTTTGTGTAAACCATAAAAACCTCTCCACTTCAAGTAAGAACAATCAGATTACCAAAGGTTTACATTTTAAAATAGTTTATAGAGGGCTTTTAAAATGTTATATAGTATTGTAACTTTTATAGTTGTTTATTTTATATATGAAAACATTTCCCTCTAGTCTCTTAAAAATTTCTTTAGCCAGCATCACTCTTGATCATATGAAAAGCATCAGACATTCATTGTCTTTAAAATGACCACAATATCAAATAATCATCAAAAAGCAACAGAAGTCTTTGACCATACTGCTTGAAAACAGTTCTGCTTATTTGTAATAGTTGTTCATGTGTTACGGGTTTATACACAAGCAATTAATTGAATTATCACATTCCTTTGTTAATTCTGTATTGTTGTTTGCATAGGAAAAGTAGTTAAACTGTAATTGAACGTGGTTGTCATAACCATGGAAATACCCATATTCTATCTTGGCATCTTCCTTGCCATCCACTTCTGGAATTCAATTAGCTAATAAATTATTTAATCCATATTATGGTTTTAGCTGTGAACTTTTAACAGATGGGTCATTTTGAGGGTGAGTAATGGACCACAGAATAGGAGCCAGAGTTTAACTTTGTTCGTAATTTTCTTCACTTCTCCCTTAACTATATTTTAACATTTCCAAATTGCAGTTACACTTTTCTTGGAGTTTTGGAAGAGACGACAAGCCAGACTGAAATACGAGTGGGATTTGGTTGATTTTGAAGAGGAACAGCAACAACTCCAGCTGAGGCCTGAGTATGAGGCAAAATGTACCCAAAAGAAGAAGAACCCTGTAACTCAGGTAATGAGCATGCTGGGTTGACATGCACACAACTTCACTTTCATCTTGCGTGATCAAGTTTGATCATGTGTGAGTTCTGCCTCAGGAACAAGCCTGTATCTCATGGTTGGGTAAAGATTTGTGTGACACACACAAGCAGTGCTGCATTTCTGTAGGAGCAGGGCAGGCCCTCATCTATAGCATCTCCACAGAGCAGTGTTTGTGGTAGCAGTGAGTTTGGCTTAAATATGTGGAACATGATGCCAACCACACCCCCGCTGAATGCAATAGATTTGTGGTGGTTTCAGGGAGTAGAGGGAGAGAATCAGAAAAGTAAAAGTAAGAAAACTCATCAGTTGAGATAAAAACAAATTACTGATCTCAAAGGTCTTTTCCAACCAAGCGATTCTATGATTCTATAAAATAAAAACAACAGTAATAATAGAATATTCAAATGAGTGATGCACAGTGCAATTGCTCACCACCCGCCAACCAGTGCCCAGCCTATGCCAACCAGCAAACCCAGAGCAGAGACCATCCTGAAACCAAAACCCCGGAAGAGCAAGCCTGAGTGATCCCTGAGAGAATCCCCCTGCTTTCCATTCAGCAGGTTAATATACTGAACACGATGTGATATGCTGTGGAATATCTCATTGCCATATCTAAACACCTATTTCAGGTTTTGCTAATTACTGTGCATTCTCCCTCCCAGCCCTTTGCACTTACAAACTAGCAAAAACCAAATGACCTTGGATGAGTGGCAGCTACGAACATTAGTACCTTATCAACATTCTTCTCATAACATATTCCACACTGAAATCAAAACACAGCTATTTTAGCTACTAAGAAGAAAATTAACTCCATCCTAGCAAAACCAGGACAAGATCATATCAAATATCAAAGCAGAATTTGGTAACACATTGTTTTCTCGCTGGAGGCATCCAGTTGATGAGCACTGAGGTTTGCACTCTGATTGACTAGTACCTGAGATCAAGGCTAACACAGAGAACAAGACTGTGTTAGCATCAGTAAGCTCTGGAGTTGATAGCCCTGACTTTCAAGCGTCTGTTCACCCTGGCACAGGACCGTTGCCACACAGGAATGGTTCTGTGCCTCAGTGATTGTTACCTTCCAGCCTGAAGGTAACAGTAACCGAGGGTGCTCAGCACTTCACCCCCCTCTTGCACACAACAGGCATGCCCCATCTCGTGGATCATGCCTCTCTTCCTGCAGATGTCTTTGTTATCTAGGCTTTTGACACAGAGTAAATGACAACATGGGTGTGTTTTGCCTCTGGAGTGTACATAGAATCAATAGAGGATAATTAATGAACGTTAATTTCCATAGGAAACTGATACGTTAAATCAGAAATACAAAGGCAGAGTTTATAACTTTCACTTGGTTAACACCATCTTTACAGTGTCCTTCATGTTTCAAGGTGGCAGTCTCTGGAATCTCCATGCCTTTGAAAGCACTCCTCATCCATGCACAACAAAGGAGCAGTTGTCTTGATCTAAAGATACAGAAGTGGGACTACCTGTGGTTTTGTCACTGATATACAACCACTTTGCAGAACACTAGAGAGATGAAGGTTGCTGAAGCCCTTTGTCTGAAATCTAATTGAGAAACAATTAACCACACTATTTAACTCTGTTAAATGTTCTATGTAAATACCTGCTAGATGTTAATTGTCTGCATTTAAATTTAATTTAGGTAGGAGTTATTTGACAAATTTAGGGAACAGCTGCTTGCAATCCAATACAACATCTACCAGCTCAATTTGACATATTTTTAAATCATTCTTCCTCTTCCTAGAATCATATATAAATAATTTATTTTCAGTAGTCATAAGCAGACTTAGTGTGGTAGTTTAACACTTAGATAACACGGTCTTCAGAAAAGAAATAGAAGCTTAGCTAGAACATGGGGAGCATCATTTTGGCTTTAAACGGGAAGAGGGGAGGTTTAGGTTAGATATGAGGAAGAAATTATTTCCTGTGAAGGTGGTGAGACACTGGCCCAGGTTGCCCAGAGAAGCTGTGGCTGCTCCTCCCTGGAAGTGTTCAAGGCCAGGTTGGATGAGGCTTTGAGCAACCTGGTCTAGTGGAAGGTGTCCCTGCTGATGGCAGGGGGGTTGGAACTGGATGAGCTTTAAGGTCCCTTCCACCCCAAACCAGTCTGTGATTCTATGATTGTTATATAGACAGTAGCCCTGTCTTTCAGGGTTTCTCTCCTTAATTATTAGCAAATATGTAAACTAATCTTACTCCTCACGAGAGACAGTTTATCTGCCTCTCCTTCCCCTTCTGCACATGCAGCATTAACACTGCTGTTCTCACAGCTGTGACTTGTACGCGGTGGTCACGCACAGATCTTTGGTGACCACACACTGATTTTTTGAGTAGCTCTGCTGAAGTACTGATTTCTGCATGCTCAGGAAAACAGCTTCAGGTAAATCAATTTTTTATTAGCTAAGTCAGCTAATTGAAAACAGATGCCTCCCTGTTGCGTGTTATTTGCTAGTTTGCATCCCTGTGTATGCTCAGGCTCAAAACCTCTGCTTTCTGACGTGGCTGCACAGTGACCAAAACCAGCTGAACCACTGTGGTCCTGCTGCAGTTGAAGGGAAGAGCAGAGGGAAGTCACAGAGGTGGTTCACGGCCCCTGTGTGCTCTGAAGTACCGGGCTGTGGCAGGGGGTAATCGCGTGAGGACAGGGCAGTAGTGGGCTGGCACGTAGGCAGCGAGTCTGTTCAGGCACCAAAACCCATGGTCTGGTGAGGTGAGTCAGCCGCAGCAGATCACAGCCGCAGATGGCATGGGTGAGGTGTGTTGTGTGGCTCTCCTGAGGGAGATGATGATTTCTCTCTAACGTGTATGTGTTGGAGTGTGTCCAGAGGAGGCCACAAAAATGATCAAAGGGCTGGAGCACCTCTCCTATGAGGACAGGCTGAGAGAGTCTCCAGGGAGACCTTCTAATGACCTTCCAATACCTGAAGAGGGCCTATAAGAAAGCTGTGGAAGAAGTTTTCACAAGGGCATGCAGCAATAGGATGAAGGGTAGTGGTTTTAAATTAGAAAAGGGGAGATTCAGGTTGGATATTAGGAAAAAATTATTCAGTATGAGGGTGGGGGATCATTGGAACAGGTTGCCCAGAGAGGTAGTGGAGGCCCCATCCCTGCAAATATTCAAGGTCAGGTCTGATGGGGCCCTGAGCAACCTGCTCTAGTGAAGATGTCCCTGCTCGCTGCAGGGGGTTGGACTATATGACCTTTGAAGGTCCCTTCCAACCTAAGCTATTCTGTGATTCTATGATTCTAAATACATGCAGATCTCTTGGGTAGGATGGTTTATTTGGATTTCATTTTGGAAACAGAAAGAGAATGTAATATATTTTTCTTATCTCAGAGTGAGATACTGCACTGTTCTGTGCTTTCTAAGTGTGCATTAACAATTACCATAAAAATTCAATGACTGCACAATCCTTTATTTTATGACACATCAATTTATTGCCTTGGTGGATTTTCAGAAGCTTTTGTGTGGCTGGGTTTAGCAGTGATCCTTGTCAATACCCACTTATAGCAAACCATATGGGTTAGCCAAGCTATATATAGTCTCATTTCCTTTGAACATGTGAAAGGACAGTGATTTCAAATAAGTTAATTCTGCAGACTAATAAGAGAATATGGATACAGGTCACTGAGTTTCTTGCATCCCAAGGCCGGCTTTGCTTTGCTCAGAGAATTGTTTCCTCATTATTCCTGACCATGACTCAAAGTTCTAGGTGCACTGAAACAGAAATTCCTCATCTTGAGGCTTTAATTAACACCTCATGTGGACACGGTGCTAAACTATTTAGCTAGATCATAGCTAAAATCTGCTTTTGCTGATTACAGTAGAATCTTAATTCACATAAATAACGAAGCATTCCATTCAAACTTAGGCTCTGTCATTGCACATTATTGCCTACGTTTTGTTCTAAAGTAGAAAACTTGATTAGCCTAGAATATGCAAAACATCTGTTCTTAGTATAGAATATACATATTAATTATTAATACATAATAGGTATATAATGTTATGAGCCTATGTAAAGCCACCTGATATCTGTGCTTGTATCTTCAGCTAGGTTTGGTTTTTTTTATAGTTCTGTTAATAGAGTCTTAAACTGTTATCATCATCAATCAGCACACCGTGACTTGAGACTGCAGTATTGATAATTGTGTTAGTAAGGACACTTAGGCAGATACAGGCAGTATATCTGTCCTGAGAGAACAGCACATCACACTTCAAACAAACTCACACTGGTACGAGCATGCTGATTGACTGAGGAGTATCACCATCAAGAAGCAACACTTGTAAAACAACTGCTGCTGCTTGGTCGTGTCGGGAAGAAACGTGCCACGCAGTAGCGGCTGTTGTATTCAGTGTAATTACACCACGATCTGCTGGTGTGTTCAGCACAATAAACTCCCTTCAACAACGCTTCACAGGGTCAATATCTTCTGTTGTCAGAACAACTAGTTCCTGGTTCATTTTACTTATTGATAATATACGTAACACTGCGCTCGCCTGCAGTAGTTGGTGCCCCTTTGGCCAAGAGGAGTGTAAGCACACTACAATGCCTTGTCCTAAAGATAGCAAATTCACATTATTTTTTTACTAAATCTTCTTCCACTGATGTGAGTTCTGAAATGATCCTTTTCTTAATACATGTGATCTGATATTTTAGGAATTAGAATTGGTTGTGAAAAAGAGACCTTTACACGAACATGGCAAATTGTTCATGTGCTATATGGGGATGCTCACTTGGGTAAGACCTCGCTGCCTGATGCTGCAGCAGAGATTGGCAACTAATGAATGCAGCTGTTTCTTCAATTAAAAAAAAAAAAGAAGAAGTTGTGGAGGAAAACACTCTCTGGCTGTGTGGAAAAACCCTGGTACATCCAATTAAATGACCATTTTAAGAAACCTTGACATGAATTTCTTAAAACTCAATCCAAGTTTGGACTCAGAGCTGACATAGCATTACAGTGATGGTTCTGCCCTGTTCATCTGGTGAAGGAGATGGTCTTTTTCATTCAGCTGCTGATAGATTTTTTTTGCAAAGGTTTAACCATTCTTTCCAAGTACTGTCTTTACTTTGTTAAGTCCTGATCTTTTTTTTTTCTTTCTTTTTTCCCCCTAGCACATTCAAAATCCTGTCCTATCTGCCCTTTTAGAGAGGAGGGGGGTCTGAATGGTTTTCCTTGGATATGGGCACTTTCACACAGCTGATGAGAGCTCTGTGCTGCTTGATGTTTGGAATAAGATTTTGGATTTGTGAACTGTGCTGTGCTTGCTTGACTGTTTCAGGAGATGGAGCCTTATTTGCCTATAACTAGCCAGGCTGTGCGGTTCTGTATCTCAGGAACTACCGTGTTGTTCTGGGTGAGCATCTTTTTTGAATCAACATTTTAACATTATATCGGTTGCTGATCATCACTAATCATAACGTTAACACAAAATAGTTTTAATCATGATATTAACACATGCTTTTATAATTGTCCTGCAGATTTTCTGCTGTCATGCAAAATGCACTTCAATTCGGTTAAAAAACCAACCAACCAAACAAAAAAAACTCTGACCTTGGAAATCTGTCATTAATTAGTAATTTGATTGGATATTTTAGCATAGGGATAAATTTTTCTCCGATTTATGTGCTATTAACAGACCATACTGAAAAAATTTGTAGTAAAGGCAAAGAAAATATTGTTCACTACAATGAAATATCGACATATTCCTCTGTAGAACTATCTGCAGAGTGAATTTCAAGGGTGGACAGCATAATCTAACTTGTGCCTTCCATCTCCATTTCTGTGAGTCTGTATCATTCTGCACAAAATTTTTTTTAGTACTGATATTAGATTGCCTGCTTTTATTGTGTTAACAAAAGAATTTTGTGGGTTTAACGTATCTAATATAACAAAGTATTTTGCCTGTGTATTTTGCATTTCAGTGCTACTGAACTCATATCCGTAAAGAATAAAATTTTAAAATTATAAACCATGATGATTTATGTCTTATTTCAAAAGTTGCATGCATATAGCTATGCTGAGCTGTAAATGTATTTCAAATCTCTTGTCCTTTCCTCAGGTGTCTCTGATTATAGCTAGCATGATAGCTGTGATCGTCTATCGTCTTGCAGTGTATGCTGCCTTTGCCAGCCTGATGGAGAACACTCAAAATTTACAGCCCATCAGGGGATTACTGACCCCTCAGCTGGCAACCTCAGTCACAGCCTCCTGCCTGAATTTTGTCATCATCATGATACTGAATTTCTTATATGAGAAAATAGCCATCTGGATAACTGATATGGGTAAGCAGTGTGTTTGAAGACAAAACTTTTAAGGAATCGCTAAAGGTGGAACCCATCTAAAGGTGTTGTGTGCAGTTGTTCTCTAAGCACTAGGACGTTAGTCTGGAGCTTGCAGTGATGACTCTGTTACATCCATTGCCATTCTGAACCTTTTCCCTGCATTTGAATAGTTACCATAAGCTGGTTTCAATTAGCAGAACGTTTGCTTATATTAAAACTAGTCTACAGAGACAATGGTAGTTCTGAACGTAATTAAAAATTATCGTGTGTTATGTTAGAGTCACAGAAGCAAGATCAAGCTGTCTTGATTCAGCAGTATTTCAATTGGAAATCCTGAAGATATATTTTTAAAAATAGATCACAGCTTTCACAGCCATCTTTACAAGAAAAAAAGACTAAATAATCATGTGTCTTCCTTTAGGGGAAGAGGTAGGAGGCTGGAGGAAGGGATGGGACAGTGTATTTTCCAGGATTTTCTCTTGGCACTGTTTCCCTTAGCTGTGGATTTACAGATTTAAAGTTAATACAGATTGAAGGCAGAGATTGAGCAGGTTGAGAAGTTGAGCCACAAGATGTGTCACTGCGTCACTGTGGCTGTAGCCATTGGTGGCATTACCTACAGTAGGCTCACTCCAGAGCTGGAGGAGCTGGCAGGCTGGCCCAGAAAGATCTGTTGTTTTTGTAGCAGATTTTATGTTTGACTATTTATTACTTGTTGGAAATATCCTTCCCTAGAGCCCTTCTTATGTATTTTGCTTTGTTTGCCCTTAATGATTTAGATGTACAAGTTCCTGCAGGTGCTTTATAGAAAGAAATAATTGCAGAATATTCAAGTGGGCGAGGGAGAGCTGAAAGAATTAGGTATTTGTTTGTTATGAGGTCTTAAAGTGCAGAAAATTAATGTGGTGCTGCATTGGGTATATTTTGATTTATTGTGGACTATCTCTTGTCTTGAAGATCTGTACTGCTTATCTCACTTGGCCAAATTAGACTGAAGAAAGGCAGAAGTAATAAGTAAAAATGGCCCCTAGCAAAAAAAACCCCAAACCAAACCAAAACAAACAAACAAACAAAAAAAACAAAACAAAACCCAACCCCCAGAAAATTACATATATTTTTTTTAATCTTTCTTTCTTGAAGGGCATGAATTATAAGCATGAAGGCTCAGCAGTGTTATTTTGCTGCTTGCAAGTGTGGAGGATTAATTTTTTAAGTGTCAGCACTGCCTGTGGTTATGTTACAGAGGGAAAATAAATGTGTTTACTTCTGTGGGACTGCTGCCCTCCTCTGGCAGCCCTGGCAGCTCTGCCTACCCCAGGCTTACAGACACCCAGAGTCCAGGGTGTGAAACATTGACTATGGCTGTCAGGATTTTGTCTGTTCTAACTCTTTCACCCTAGAATTCCTTAAAAAGGTTAGGCTGGATTTTGTTTTCAGACTTTCAGCTGTAATCTACCTCTGGTGCTCTGAACACTGAGTGTCTGGCAGAAACATTTGAACAGTTCACTGCCAATAAAAATACTTTAATGAGCTGCAACCTGGGTAGACAACCTCACCTGAGTCCTACCTCACTTGAGTCCTGCCTCCTCTGTAGCACACTACAGGTCCCAGTAAATACCTTCTGTCATGCAAACTTATCCCAAGCTTGGAAACAGTAATTTATTTAGATATATAAAATAATTTTGCTGTGGGATCAATGAGTTCAACACGTCTGCCAGGTCCTGACCATTTCAGAGGGACATGAATGCTTGTGGTGGGTTTTCTTCCCCCTTCTCCCAGCTTGAACTGGTTATAAGTTAACATTTAACAGGGCACTTTACCAATGATACATGTAGGGCTTTCTGCTACCTTTAAAAATGTAAACATGATGGAGAGTGTGGTTAGGAAGGCAGCAAAATCTTAAGCAAAGCCCTGGTGATGTTCAGTACCACTGAGATGCCTGTATCCTTCCCTGTTCTTCCCCCCACTGTGAGTCCCATCTTTGAGGCATGGGACCCATCCAATTTCTGCTGATTTCAGTATGTTAGACACATATGGCATATTGAAAAAACAATACTGTAACATACTTCTCTATCACAAAGAAAATGAAAAAGAAAATTCTTTATCACGTCCATTGCCAACAGTGGAATTTTCATAGTCTAGAGGACCCTGCTAGTTAATGTTTGAGATTAATCTTAGATCCCCTAAAAATACTGTAAGATTTTGGGATGGACAAGTGCTAGTGGACAATACAAAGAAGAGGAAATTGAAGCTTATAAATGTTTCAAGAATTACTTGCCTGTATGAGAGCATTGCATTGTAAATTAAGGGCAGGGTGTCCAAGAGCAGGAATTTTTTAATATTTTGTTTTTCCTTTGGAATGTGAAGGCACTGTGGGTGATGAGTGTTTATGAATCTGTCTCCTTTTAAAGGGAATAAAAGAGAATAAAATAACTGTTTTCTGATTTCACAGAGATTCCCAGAACTCATATGGAGTACGAAAACAGGCTCACTATGAAAATGTTTCTGTTCCAGTTTGTCAACTACTATTCATCCTGCTTCTACGTGGCCTTCTTCAAAGGGAAGTTTGTTGGTTACCCAGGTGCCTACACATACATGTTTAATCGCTGGCGAAATGAAGAGGTAGGACTTTCTTGATAGAGTTGAAGCTTTAAAACTAGTCTTCTCAGCAAAAAGCAGAGACCAGATACTGGCAGGTACTTCAATACCTCTGGTGTAGGGATATGGGCAGAAAATGCAGACGTTTGCTAGGTCAGGGTGGGTCTGGTGTTGAGATCTAACCAAGCAACATAGATTGACCTTGCTGGGACTGTTGGGTAGCAGCTGCACATGGATCCTCCTGCCCCGTCTTTGTGTATCTGCACAGTGGTCAGCCTGAAGCGTCTCTGAATTACTCTGTCTTTAAATGGTTGTTGTGTTTTGGTGTCTGTTTTATCATTGAGCATTGAAAGCTCTCTGGAACAGTTTTCCTGAGAGGGAGTCTTAGCTGGCAATACAAGTGAAAATTAAGTATTATCCTAACAAGTTTTAAGAACTCCTCTTCTTTCTTTCATTTATACAGTAGTAGAATATAGTTTTATCTGGGTAATGTCTATTAACCAGCAATTTGTCTCTGCCAGTGCGATCCTGCGGGCTGCTTGATAGAATTGACGACACAGCTCACCATCGTCATGGCTGGCAAACAGATCTGGGGAAATATCCAAGAGGCCATTGTACCGTAAGTTCTCTATTGCACTGAGATGCTCATGTTATAGGCAGAGGAAATTCTTGGGAGGAATGATAACAAGTGTTACCATACGAAGAAGCTAAGAAAAATTCTGTAAATTAAACACAAATTCTGATGAGTAGACTCATTTCATAGAGGCTTTTGGCCTCTTTTTGTGAAAGCCACACTTGTAAAAGCATGTTGCAACAAGGAGATTAATTAGGGAAAGGGATACTTGATCTGCTTCTCTCATTGTTAACTTTTTTTCTGCACATGCAGCTGGATTTGTAACTGGTGGGGTCGCCGGAAAGCCAGAAATAATCCAGAAAATTTATACAGTCGCTGGGAGCAAGACCATGATCTGCAGACATTTGGACCCTTAGGCCTGTTCTATGAATATCTAGAAATGGGTAAGTTTAAAAATACACATTTGGAAAAGAGGACAAGACACCTTGTGCTGACACTTTCAAAAAAAGAGCTTCTCAATTTATTGTTATGGGTTGATGCCACCACTTTCATCTGGTAAACAGGAGATGATTAACTGCTGGAAATGAGTAAATAGGTCAGACCAATTAAAAAAAAAACAAAAACAAACAAAAACCAGCCTTTGCATCTTAGACTGCAGGGAATTTCACAGAAACACTGCAAAGACTGTTTGTTTCCCCCGTTTGAATGGGAACATTATTCTCAGTGCAGCCCGCTGTCTCGGTGTCTATTCTGTTCTTGTTCCCAAGCATATTCTCAGCTGCTGTCAGTGGAAGTTGTAAGTATGGGATGAGTGCCAAATATGCTGTAAGGATGGGTACTGCAGACAGGAGATCTCCAAACTGGATCAGGGAGAATCCATTTGGTTTTAGGTTTGCACTGGTTAGTGCATCGGTACAGTCCAGTAGACCAGCAGAGGGAGTACGGGGAGCAGAACTGGATTTTTCAAAGGTAATGTGAACAGGTCAGCACATGAAATCAGTTTACAAAACCTGAGAAACTAAAACTAGAAACAGAAGCCAAACTAAATCTAAAAAGCATTAACAAAAAAATTAATATTTATCTATTATACAGAAAAAATCTGTTGAAAAGTGGACCTTTATATTGTTTTATTTCTGCAGAAATAATTTTAAGTGTTCTAGGGTGCCTAGAGATGTGTAGCTTTATTATTGTCACTTCGTACACTTCATGGTATTTCATGTAGGGCTGTGATCTTGTGAAATTAAAACATTCAGAACAATCAGTGTTGTTAGCCATGCCCGTTAATAGATGTCCTTGCTCTTCCTAACCAGAACTGATCCAGTATGCTCCAGCATTGTCCTGGGGCTGCTAAACTAGTAGGAATTTTGTTGCTTGTCTAAGGTGAAGAACTCATCACTGAAATTATGGAAGAGCTGATGACTGGTGTATGGGAATTTATTTTTATCCACTGCCTAAACCAGACAAGATGTTCTGTTTCCTGTCTTTAAAATATAGCAGCAGTATTGGCTCTGCACTGAGGACGGTCACATTCTGTACCAAGAGATACTTTTGGTATTGACTAAAGACATCATTAGTGCAATTCTTAAAGTCATGTTGAGAGTCCCCAGTGAACTGTTACACACAGAACTGGTATTAATATTTTGACTAAATGAGTAACAAAAGGTGGAGGTAAGGTTGTGATAAAAGTATTTCCTCTTTTTCATTTAGGGATGTAGCTGATAAGTAAAAGGAGAACATGCTTGATCTGTACAAACTGCATGAGAGGGAAACTAGCCTGGTTTTGATCCTCTCGTAATTGAGAAATTTGATGTTTGAGTACATTCTTATCCCCTACAGTTGTGTTCCATTCCAGAGCACTGCAGACCATGAAAGAATTAGCATCCAGCATTGCTGGCAGCATCGTTTGACAGGACCCGAATGCCCCGTTCCCTTGAGTGCTGCTGAATGGCAGCCCAAAGAGACTAGAGGAGTCTCGGGACTGGGGTGGGTTGTCACTTAGCTCAGGCCAGGGCTGGAGATGACTTGTTGTGCAGCCTGGCAGAAGTTTGCCATTTGTCTGTGAGCGGCAACTTGCCTATTTCCTTGTCACCCTGAGGGTACTTTTGTAGGGGTAGATTTTGGCATTTTTGTTTTCTCTCTTGCAGTCATTCAGTTTGGATTCATTACTCTCTTCGTGGCATCCTTTCCCCTGGCTCCCCTTCTTGCTCTGATGAATAATATCCTGGAGATTCGAGTAGACTCCTGGAAATTAACCACTCAGTACAGGAGACCTGTGGCTGCAAAAGCACATAGCATAGGAGTTTGGCAAGAGATCCTGAATGGAATGGCCATCTTGTCTGTTGTCACTAATGTAAGTACATTAACTGTGCTACCTCAACTTGGATTCTTCCATGTGCTCAGAATTTGTGGATTTAAAAATCAGCTGATGCTTTTTCTTTCATCACCAGTATTCACTTTCTCACCTGTTACCCTGCAGAGATATGGTCAAACCATTTGGGTGGTTCAGCTTGTCCCTGTGTTGGTGATATGCAGCTCCCAATCCACATTTCATCGGACCATAATCTTCATGCAGTTGTCTGTGTTTTCCAGCATTTTTTGAATGGCATAAGCTGGTCTGAAACTTAGTCTGCTGAAGCACACTGATTGCCCAGAGGGGACCGTAGGGGACAGGAGATGTGGATTAATTCTGTCAGCTGGATGACATTTCTGTCTTGTTGCTATCAGGCCTATTCTGTGGGAATTCTGCTGTTCACCTGCTTCTGGATGTCTCTATAGGAGCAGTGGATGAGAGTACTTTTTATAAACTGGAAACTAAATGCTGTGCTAGTATTTCAGCTTAAGTATAATGTAAAGCAGACTGCTGAGCAAGAGTTGCCTCTTTTTAATATAGAACATTAAACAGCATCAGATCTGCAAGTGTCTTAGGCAGCAAACACACTTGCAGGTATTGCTTTGTTAGCAAGGTGCCTGAGTGTCTTGAGTGTCTCAATTTTCCAAGCACATTATGCTGGTGGCCATTGTTTCCTTTTTAAATCCAGCTGGAGAAAATGGTTCCCCTTCTTTCCTAAAGTGATCACACAGTGAATTTGAGTTCATCCTTTCTCACAAGAACTCAAAACAACATCTCTTCTTTCAAGGAGTGCTGTTATCACAGATGGAAGACACTTTGGTGTGAGGGGATATTTGAGATTTAGTGCTTTTTGTAAGGGCTGTTCCCATACTCCGTTAGCTGAGCGCTCGTCCTTGCAGCAGAGGCTGCAGGCAGCATCTTTACCAAGGTGCAGTGCCCTAATCACGCTCACACTTGTCTAAAAGATCCCGGGCTATGCCACAGACTCACAGTACCAAAACCCCTTTATGAATTTGCTCACAAGTTTTTTGTTTGCCACTTCCTTGAAATTTCTTTTTCCGACTTCTTTTTCAGGCTTTTATTGTTGCATTCACATCAGATATGATTCCTCGTTTAGTTTACTACTATGCTTATTATGAAAATGAAGACTCACCTATGTCTGGATACATAAACAATAGTTTGTCAGTGTTTCAAATCTCAGATTTTCCTGACAGAAACAAGCCTAAACTGAATCCAGGAAACTTTGTCATATGCAGGTTGGTGTAATAATAAGTATTTTATTGGTTTTTTTTAGAATACAGCATAAAAAGTCAATGCAGATCTAAGTAGTCCACTGGAAATTAAATGATGTCGTTCTCATCATTCTAATGTGTGAGAGGTAATATGTAAGCTATTAACAAGACAGTGCTTGAGATGGTAAGAGCATGCCAGTAACGAAAATAATGACCCTTTTGTTGTTTAAGAGAGTCTCAAAATTGTGAACTTTTTTGTTTGTGGTTTTGGGGGGTTTTTTGTTTGTTTTTTTTTACTTAATTAAACTATTGATTTTTGAGTGATGGAGGATATTTATGTCCCTAAGTTTGCAAACTTCAGCCTATATTTTTAAAGATTTTTAGGCTGCAAAACCCAAGTGGACAAGGAGGTATCATTAAGGGGATGTTTAGATTCCAAAGCTAAAAATGAGATAATAGCATTTAAAGTCAATTGTTATTGTGCTGGGTGCTACCAAGGATCTGGGTCATTCTAGTTTTATTTAAAAAATAGTCCTTTCTCACTAGAAGCAGCATTAGGGGTTCTAGAAGAATTGAGAGAGAACTTTGGAGAAGTCTATGGTAAAAGTATTGATTTGATGAAAACAAAAACAAATAAAAAAAACCAAACCCAAAACAAATGAACCAAACAAAAAAAATCCCAACATTTTAAGTGGAAGCTACATTTGTCTGATGTTTTAGAGTTTGTAGGTGTTTTAAAGCCCCAGAAGTCTTTATCCTACTTATACATGTGAGTGTAGGTAGAACACATACTCAAGACTATCCTTCCATTAAACCTTGCATCTGTCCAGTCCATATCTGTCACCATCTATCATATTTATTCAATACTTGTGCATTACTGTGTGATGCATTTCATCACTGTCCTGTATTATTCGATCATTACCTGCAAAAAAAAGTAACCTGTGTACAAAATTTCACTTCTTGCACATCCTCACCTCTACTCTGTTGCTGTGAGTGTGAGGGTGTTTAAGCAGACATGATGGAAACAAACTGAGAGGCAACCTTTTTCTGCTAAAGGAAACAGAGCATTTAAAACAAGATGAAAAGGTTCCTTAAGTGACAGCTGTATTTGCCTGTAAGTGTCACTGAGCTTGTAGTCTGTCTCAGGCTGAATATGACATTTCACCTTTGCATGTCTTTCTATCCAACAGGTACAGAGACTATCGATATCCTCCAGATCATGAGAGGAAATATTTACACACTATGCAGTTCTGGCACATTCTTGCTGCAAAATTGGCCTTTATAATTATTATGGAGGTATGTTCCCTACAAAATTTCCTTCAGAAATTAGTACCTCGTAGATTCTCTAGGTGGTTACTGATGTTACAGAAAATAGAATTGCTGATAGTATAAAAGAGTGTCTTTCCTAAGTAATATCAAGTACTCATGATTATCCTAAATGATTACTATAAGTAGGTCTTTTAACTTCAGGAGTTAATCTCAGAGTAAGAACAGTGAAAACAGCTGAGGAAACTGCTAAATTTGATCGAAATAAAACAGCAAAACCAAAAAGGTCTTTATGCAGATGGAAGAGACATGAACCACCAAAACTAGCACTTTCACTCATACTGGTTGCATTAAAGAGCTGTATGTGAGATGACTACATTCAAAATGCAGAAACAATTTGCTTTTCAGTGTATATTGGCTAAAAATAGATAAATCAATACTTTGGATGACTGGCACTTGAGTATTAAGCCACTGTCTTGCAAGTTCTAAAGAGAAAAGGCAGTTGTTAAAATGTTCTTCTCATCACTTTTCCTACTGTATCTTATCAGTTCTCAGTAGTTGAGCATTATCAGCACAGCCATGTGAATTTTCTAAGAAACCACACAGATAATAGAAAGTGATGCTGGGGATTCAGAACCTGACACTTTCCTCTTGGGTTTGCTGATTCATAAATAGTTTGGAATTAAAGTTTATGCAGCAAAGGAAGTGTTTTAATCTTCATACACAACTTGGTTTGTTAAGGTTTGTTCCAGGACAGCCAAATGAAATGTACTCTGTGAACAAAAAGTGTTCTGTTTGGTGTTAGATAAAATAATAGATCTTTCATTTAGTAATTAATTTTTACATTTCTCCTGGCTTCCTTTTCTGCCTTTTTTTTTTCCCCAGCATGTTGTATTCATCGTCAAATTCTTTGTAGCATGGATGATTCCTGATGTCCCTGCAGATGTGACAGCCAAAATAAAACGTGAAAAATATTTAACACAGAAAATCCTACATGAGTATGAACTTGAAAAACTGAAGGAGAGACTGTGTCAAGGTGATAAACGAGCCACAGAAAAGGAGTTCATCACCACAGAAGGGAGAATGGAGTTATCCAGAGCAATGTAGTTGAGGAAACCGACGGTTTGGGATTTAGCTCATTTCAGCTTTTTTATCTGTGATTTGCTCAGTATGCATCATCTTGAAAGCTACAGGACAGTTGCAACCCTTCGCTTTCAGTCCAAAGATTTTAGACTTTTCTTTAAAAGTCTTACTGAGCATTCTAGGTTTAGTAAATCTATTTAACTGTATGACTTCAGCACTGTTTTTTATTAACCCATCACTTTGAATAATAAGTGTAATCTTGTAATCCTAGAATTTGGATTCCCAGCATAGGGAATGTTACCATCAAAGGGCTCACAGGATATGGTAAGGTCATTACCACCAAGCCCTCCCCTTGTTGCTAAACGCAAAGTTCCAGGCTGTATCCCAGCTGAATGAAAAGGGTATCATAGAGGACTCCTGCTGAGGAAAGTGCTGAGAATTATTTTTATGACATGATCATTTAAATTGGAGAACACTCCTTTGGGGTTGGGGGCTTTTTTTGTATCCACTATGTCTTATGATACATTTGTTTGCAGCTTTGAACTTCTATATGCTTTTTAGAAGGAATTATTTTAAAAGATATATTGGCTTAATTCCACTTGGAATTATTTGCAGGCACAGAAGTCAGTTAATACATAGTAATGAAGGAGAAAAAAAAAAAGCCATAATTTATTTTCATAAAGATATCATCTGCCAGAGTTTGATCTTTAAATGCAAATATTGTGGAATCCTCTAATTACAGTGTTTTTTGAAAAGATGTATACAATTTGGAGAAGTACAGCTAACTTATTCCTCAATCTCAAAAACTGCCATTGGAAGATCATGCTAGAAGTTAGATTTGGCCCAAGCTACCACTGTTTGGATTCTTTGGATTGTCTGTGAATGCCAAGAGAGGATTCGGGCTGTGTCTGTACTCGATGCCCACTATGGAGCGTGACCGCACAGTGCAGCGGAGTGGCAGCGCGACCGCATCACTCATTGATCTAGCTGGGTGGTTTGTAGATGGATTTGTATTCAAAAGATCTTAAGTATGCCAAATAATCTATGTTTACATTGTTATTGTCCTTATACATGGGAGCCTGGGGGGGTTTGGTTTTGTTTTGTTTTTCTTTTTAATCTTTAAGAAGGAATTTTTTTTTTCTGTGTATTCATGGGACTTTTCTACAAAGTTATCAAGTTTATAAATATGTAATAACTCTTTGTGCAAAGTACCTACTAGCTGTTCATGGATGTGCCCTCATTTTATAATTTGAAGCAGTTAGACATTTTTATGATTTTGCTGTGTATTTAAACTATATCAACACTTCCATGCTTAGTGCCTTGTTTATTTGCATTTGGCAAAAGATGTGAAAATGGTTGCTATGAGGAAATGCCTATTTCCAAAGTGTGCTCGCAGGCAGCGTGATACTGTGAACCTGCACACATAGCTGTACGGTGTCAGCCAAACCATGCCTGCCTTGGCACACTTCTCTTTTAGTGCTATAGGAACTGCTCACGGAGAGCAGTTCATACCTAGACTGCTTAAAGTAGCACCAGACTGTTGAGTTCTCTCACGCTGAAGTATACCAGCTAGAGAGATTAGAAATTTTACTCTATTTGCACTTTGAAAGTTATACTTCCTTGCAAGTATACACAAAAGAATTTGGATTTGTATTCCATATCAGCCAAATGATGTACTGTTTACTAGAGCCACAACTTAAGGTTTCTGTATTTTGTTTTAGCAGATCTAGCCTACGTCTTGGAGTACTTGGCTAGTAACCTTAATGTTGTAACAGAGTTTTAAATCAGTGTCTTGAGTGGAATTGTCATTATTAGCAAAAGTTTTAACAATGAAGTGCCTACCTCGAACAAGCATCACGTGGTTTGGCTGCCAGTCAAGGAGTTGAAGCAGATGTACATTTCTCGTTACTGTAAGTTATTTGGCTTCGTTTTGTGAGTTTGCTTGGTAAATCAAGCACGTTGGCAATTCATGTTCATGATGAACTGACCATGTTCTTGAATATTCAGATATATTTGAAGTAAGGGACTTATTGGAGGAATGCATGTATAAATAAATTAGTTCTGCTGCTTAATGTATAAGCCAAAGTCACCATAATTATGTATGAGACACCAGAATTTACACAATGCAAGCACTTTGCAGCTTTTCACACATATACTGTTAATTAAGCTGCTTAATTTAGATTTCACAGTTTTGTTACTGTTAGCAATGCAAACAATTGCTTCAAATGGTAAGGTGATGAGATGCAAAATGAGATTTCTGTGCAAAACATACAATCTGATTGAAGCTGAAAACAGATTTGAAAATTCAGCTTTAGATGCACTATTCCTGATTTGGAATGTTAGTTTCTTCAGGTCCTCTAAGGAAGTGTCATTAATATGCTACACTTAAAAAGATGTCAGTAAAATAGATGTATTGTGAAGGAATAGTGCTGTTTACAGGCAAGATGGGGGAAAACAAGGAAATACCTTAGTTTGGGATACAGCACTGATATGCAGAAGCCCTGCATGCAGACCCTGAGTTTGAACTGGTGTTTCGATCCCTACTTCTTGCTGCTTTCATATTTATTTTTGAGATCACTTCCTATTTAATGCTATACAAACAGATGTTTTGCATATGTTGTATTGTATAAAAGAAAGTGGAAAAAATCTGGGATCAGCTTATTAGAAAAAAATATATCTTAAAAATATATATTATTACACTTTGTAGCATTATTCTTCGTATATAGAAACTATTGAAAAGAGAATTTTTTGTACTATTAAGAGCTAATGTCACATAACAAAATAAGTAACACCTCTTTACATAATAGTTTGCCTTTACTTGTCATTAAGCAGTATTTTGAGAAAAGATTATTAGTGTGATTAGGATTATAATGGTTCAAATACATACACATTTCCTGAAGTGTTCTTGAAAAGTGACAAAAATAAGAAAAATGGACTGGTCAGTTTGGTGTGCTTATTCTTACTGTTGGAATATTTGATTTTGATGTGTTTAATATAAGTATCTAAAAGTGTCCTTCAACTAAAGTGAAGATAGTTCTGCATTGGAACTACTGTAATTTAAGCAACAAAAGATTGCTTCATTAGAATTAGTTAGAAAAAGAAAATCAGCCTTTCAAATGTAATACAATCAGGGAATTTTTTTGTTTTGTTTTTTCAATTTAGTATTTTTACCGTGGGAAGATTTAGTGTGGTATGTTCTAAGCAAATGACTGCAAAGTAAGAGTGCTACTCTGAGACAGAATACTGTTTTTTCTAGAAGATTTTGTTGTTCTGCTTTTACTTTTTTATGTAACACTATGAGATAACAGGACAGAGTGAAAATAGATGGACTTTCCTACTGTTCCATGTGTATGGCTTGTTTTGACTTATACTGTCATGTAATCTGAGTGGCATTTTGTCTGCTAAGTATGTTGCTGATATATACGATACACTAATGTTGGAATAAATTTTTTTAAACGTTGTATTCAGCTAACTTGCATATGTACATTTAATAAGATCTAAATCTGGCACATAAAGCAGTGTTTATTTTTAATGTGCTGTCAACTTGGTTTGGAAAATTCCAAGAATACAGAGAGGAGGTGAACTATTAAAAGTTAAATACCCAGGGAGTCTCATGGGGGAAAGTATTCATACAGATTTCTGCAGCTCATTGTGGGATATTTGGATGGTGTCTATAGATTTCCTGCAATTGTGACTTCACAGGTTTTTTACTCAGATTATTGAAGAAAGCCTCCATCTCACTGCCATCTTCCACTTGATGATCACAGTGTGTAACTGTATTTTCTGTCTTTGTGCATTTTCTTAAGAATGAATTACCAGGGAAAACCTGTACTAAGTTCTGCATAGATGCAATGCCCATGGACCGAGGTGGCATGAGTGTGTGGTAGCCCATGAGGGAATTGAGCTTTGCAAATTCCTTACGTTAGAAGACCACCAGTTAGTGAAAAAGACTCGGTGCTTTCATCTTTCTCTAGGTATGGTATGAGCAGTATGTTAACACACATTCATTTTCAGTCAGGCTGCTTTTCCCTTCATTCCCTGGATACAGTTTCTGTTCTTGTGATGCCAGGACCTGAGGTGACTTCTCAAGTTCTCAGTCAGTCACACACAGTTTTCGCACACAGCGCGACTGGTTCACGTACCTGCACTTAAATAGCTTTGAGCACTTATCCTGGAAGATGTGGCAGAGCTAAAGCTTTTCCAAGGGACTGGTAAAGTCTTACTGTTCATAGGTACCTCTACATATTTTAATCTTTCTTAAAACTCACTTCTGGCACCAGTGTAGAGCTTTGGGTTAAATCACAGAGGATCTGGCTTCAAGTTTATGACTTGCTCTCAATAGACAGCATCAGCACATGTTATCACTCCTGTTATCCTGTGTTACCAGAACTTCTCTGGGAACAGCATCACCTGCCAGATTTGGTACATCATTTCCTTTGTAACTTTGAAATTATAAATTAAAGGAGATGTAATGCCAATAATCAGGTGAAAGAAATGTATGAGGTGGATAGAACAATCTTGTCTAGATTAAAAAGGAAAAAAAAAAGACTAAACCAAGCAAGGTAATTATGTATTATGCTGCTACCACTGTGCTGGTTACTGAGGTGGGACAGGTTGCTTCAGAAGTAGCAAAAGGGAAAATAAAGTGTTAAGAAAGGTTTGGGGGAAAGACAAAGGCAAGTGCTGTTGCTATGCTGGATAGAGGGAGTATTTATGTATTATGAAAGTGTTAAAAGTTTTAATTCAAGTGCATTCCAGCTTTGCTCTTGGCAGTTAGACTTTGCCTCCAATGAGGCCTGGGAAAAATACTGAAAATACAGTGGGGTCAGCACAACTGCACCAACAGCAGCTCCTGCAGTCCCACAGCCCAGCTCGTAACTGGAAGGACGTGAGAACTACGAATGGCTGAGAGATGCAGGGAATGGGGTTGGGGTTCATCATGTGTGGTGTGGCAAAGAGATTGTACCAAGAGAGGGCAAATGTGCAGCCCTGACAAAGGACTCATTTAGACAGACAAATCCTGCCTTCCCTAAACAGATGGAAAGAGGTAAATGGAAAGAAAAAAAAAAATGATTATTACCATATGAATGGTAACAAAATATTTTGAATTACTTTGTAACCTCATTAAGCCACAGCTA